TGGTACTCGTGCAGTACTAGTACAAGTGCCCTTTGGACCAGTCCGGTACCGTATGGTACCGCTTCTTAGCTCACCCCTTTTCCACCACGAGGAAAAGGAAAAGGAAAAGGAATAATAATCCACGTCACGATCCAGCCTTTGGCGAAAATTGCGCGATCGCGGCGATCTGCAGGTATCGTTGTCCCGTGAAAGTGTTTTGTGCTGTGCTGTCCTGTCCTGTCAATCCCCTTTCTCCCCTTTCTCGCCTTCTTGTCCAGCGTCTAACCCGTTGAGATTCTCTCCCCTGCCTTCCGTCAAACGCTCAATGACTCAACCATCCTACTCCGCCTGGGATACCTGCTTTGGCAGACGCTTCATTCGCCCTCAGGTTATTTGTCGGAAGGGGAGGGCGTGAGGTCTCTGACTGTACTAGTACAAATAGGTTGTGTTTACGGTACCATTTTTCTTCTCTGTCGATCAGCGATTAGCGAGACTGCGGGGGTGTCATGAGTGGAGGGAACGTCGGTACGGTAGGCTGAATGGGCGGATGGGAGGGATGGAAGGGAAGGGAGTGACTGTATTCATGGGCAGTCACTCGAAAGGGGTGGGTGGTGTTGCAATGGGGTTTCGAAGGGGGAGGAGGCATTGTGGTGGTAGCGGTGGCTGGCTAACTAACAAGCGCAGGGCTGGTGTCTGTAACGGTTGGATGTCAAGTACCGTATGTAGTTGGTTTCGAATATTGTGTGGGAAGTTCCGGGTGCTGTAATGTTAGATGCTTCAGCATTGTATTACTCGAGGAGAGATGTAAGAAGGTTGGGCTATTTACTGTAAATGTGTTTCGTCAATGTATATTTTGAGCTATCTCACGTCACGGTATCCTATCATTACCATAAGCACCGTATCGCATACTCTCACTATACATTCATATTCGCAAAGCTCTCATACCTTTCCAAGTGCCATAAACTACTCCTTGGGGGCGCTTCGCTAAAATCCTCTTCCTTATTGTTTAGTAGAACCTGTTGCGGTAAAGCCTAGAATATCCCCAGAGGGATATCCGAAAACAACTATCCAAGAGGCATTTGATGCTCCCTGGTTGTTGATAGAGATAGTTCTCCAGGTATCATACCTGGGGGGGGATGAGGAACTTGCGAATGGGAGTGTACAGTACAGTACACGCACTACCCTGATTCTTAGAAACACCAGTACAGGTAACATCTACTGATATCCCATGTAGTGAGGGCCCGCCAGTAAATCGCACTACACTCCTACACTGATGTCCGTACTGTAATAACTGAGGCAGTGCCAGTAGACCAAAGCCTGCTTCTCAAAGCCCAATCTCACTGTACCTTTGATACCGGCGATGACGTACCCCATGAACAACACCCCCCCCCCGCACCAAAACCCTCCGCAAAGCACAGTAACTCCCGGGTAATCTTAACCCACCACGATACCTCAATATCTAGAAGGATCTAGCCTGCGGCTAGCAGGTCGGAATGGGATTCTCCTTTGTAATCCGTCTCAAGTCCGCAACAAAACGTGCTTACACAAGCCCCGTGGCTAAAGCCAGGCCCGCCCTCGCCTCTTCCAGGCGATGCTGGACATTTGTTCCAACCCCCACCACTCCGTTTCAACGCACTCGAGTACAGTACTAACCAGCGGCAGGCAAATATTGCCGGAAGAAAATGGTGTAGCTTTCGAAGGCAGCCACATTTCCAAGCCCAAGGCTTGAGATCCTGCGGCAAATGCGCCTTTCTTTTGGATAGCGGCGGCTCGAGTTTGCCCCGGAATCTACGGTATCATATCAGACAGTGGTATGTTATCGTAATCTCCCCATGTACGAGTGCGGGTTAGAGCCCTTCTACCACACCCAAAATAGGCGCGAACATACTCATAAACACCAACACCCCCCACATACATTCTCTTTGCATGAAGTGAGCTGCAGCAGCCTGGCGCCCCTCCACTCCCCATTCGGTCTCATAAAGTACTTGTATCATACTCGTGTGCGATGGGGGGTGAGTGTGGCGTGCTGCGGTGAGGCAGATTACCCGGTCGGCGCCGAGTCTCTCCTTCTCTTGGGAAGTGTGTGGCTCTAGGGCACAGTTTTGTGGATCCGTCTGCTTCTGACCAAAATCCGAGTGATCGATTGTGACTAAAGTGTGTGGGCCAGCGGTGAAGGATTGGGAGCACCGCGCTGCAATGCTTACTCTAGAAAAAGGGTAGTTTCAGTGGTGTACTTTAGCGGGATAGGGATTTCGGGCTCTCCGGTGAGGGTGCCCGCTCCCTTGGGAAATCTTCGAGAAAGTTTGCGGAATGCGGTGTCGCAATTCTCATCATCATCATCATCATTAGGGGGCTCTTCGATTGAACTGTACTCGGGTACGGTCCTCGTACTGTAGTGTGCGAGTACAGCACAGCACGGTAGTTTTTTTCGGATACCGGTACTTGTTTTCGTTCTAATAATAGCTTGACAGATGAGCTGCATCGACTCACTCTACCACCCTTGATTGTCGAGCGAATTTGTTTTACGAGTACTCTACAGTATCTTTCATTCCCTCCCGGATTCTGTGCACTTCACCATATCAGAACTACCCTTCTCTTCACGTCATATTTGGCAAGACTGCGCGGGCTACATGTGCTTGAGCTATGAATACTCGAACCCGTGTTTTCCTTCTGACTTTCTTGCTTTTTCCTACAGTGAAGCTTATTGGGGCGCAATTGCCACATGAAACCTACGGGGGCAATATCTATCGCAGATATACCGTTACCCTCTTATTCATTACGATTTATTGAGATCGGTCGAGTTCGACTCCGAGTGGTGGGAGGGAGAAAGGGAAGAAAAGAGCAGGGGAGATTCAAGCCACTGCTAAACATCGAACCCGGTTTGTGTTACCTGGGCTTTCAAAAGAAAAATCAGACAGAATGACGGCTGTGGCTAGGATTTCCTCTCCTGGCCCTGTTGCCGGCTTTTGTTGGAACATTAGTCTATTCTACCCCCCCGCCCTCTCTCTTTCTCTCTCGCGCCCTTCACCAGGACCAACTCTACTGACAAAAATTGTTTTCGAATCGTGATACCCTCGTAGGTTAAACGAACACCTAAATTCTAGTGTAAGTTATGCTATCACCCTACAAAACCGGAACCCCGGGCGAAGAAACTTTAGCAAGCACAGCCGCGCATTAGTAGCGGTCAAACTGAATACTATTTCTTTTTTCTTCTCTCCTTCCTTCCTTCTACGTGACAGCAACGGAACGGTTCTGGTACGAGTACCATTGGACAACCTTCCCCGCACCACCTCCATGAGAGACGGGTAAGACCAGATCAACCCACAAGACAACGGACCAACTCCCGAAATCGTACAATGAATCCTCCCTCTTAAAAACAAAGCATAAATCAGTTCTAACCTTGCAAAAGGAAAAGATGCAGCAGGGAAAAGAAAAAAAAAAGAGAGAAAATAGCTATATTTGACAACGGCACTAGAGCAGGATAGGGCACTGTGGGACACTTTATGCGATGCGATGCGAGATGGCGGTGGTGAGTTATGATTAGATACGGTAAATCGAAAAGGTTATGTTATTGTGGCATCCAGTCCTTTTCTCTCTCTCTCTCGCTCTCTTGCGTGGCGGTTCCACAAAGGTGCGACAGGTGCATTCGCTACGATACTCGAGCACTTACCTGGTTGCTTGTTCACTCGTGATTGTGGGGGGTGGGAGGCGGGGAGCGGTGATTGGAGGGGGCGAGTTACTTGGAGAGTACTTCTGTGCGTGTGGTTGTGATACGTCGATTACTTATGGTCCAGTGTATATCTACAAGTACTCGCGCTGTACTGTACAAGTACTAGTACTCGTACTCACCGGGATAATCCATACTGTGTGAGTATCGTGCTGCCTGTTCCGGAGGGAGGTTTGTGTTGACGAGTGGAGTAGTAATTTGTTATACTTTTGGTGAAATTATTGTGAAAATACCGGGAAGAGAAGAACCTGGAGAACCCGGGATTTACGGTGGGATTTTTTTTCCCTTTCTCATTTATGCGTGACGGAGTTTGCCGTATTATTGCAGTACTGTACAGTCTGTACCGGCATTTTTCCTTCCCAGGCTCACGTGTACTGCATTGCTGCGGGGCTTGGCGGGGGGGGGGGAGTTGGCAGTGGCAGGGGTAGTGAATCATCCGAGCGCACTGATTATCACTCGTTTGATGAAGGAGCTCTGATGGGTTTTGGGGTCGCGTTTTGCGCAAATGTGTGGTGCTCCGCTGGAGGTTCCATGGAAAGATGTGGTGAGCCGTACCGTGTGCTTACCAAGTGAGAGAGCAAGTGGGTTTGGGGGTGTACCGCGCGCAGTGACCGCCATAAGTGTATCAAAAGTTACTGGTAAGCAGAATGGATCTCCGGGCCCTTCTCGTGCCGTTCCGTGGAGCGGGGTTGATAGTATTCCGGGTTCGCGGTTGGGATTTGGATTAAGATCCAGGGGGAGTAATTTTGCCCCGTGATATCCGGTAATTGCGGCAATGGGGGGGTGATGAGTATGCTCATCATGTTCCCCGCTCCCTTGTCTGGTGGCCCCGCCAGAAGATGAGCGGTTGACATTACGGTGCCTGCTCGAATGGGTTGGTGATGCTTATTGTTTGTCGGGGCGGCCGGGTATATCGGGGTGGAGATTGCCTTCTTATCACTCAGAGTTGGCCCCCCCTTTTCTTTGTCTATGATACACGGTGTACTCGCACTGTACGGAAGTCGGTGGCTGGAGGAAGCCCCCTAATGCTGGGCTGCTGTGGACCCTTAGAGGGTGCTTGGGTGAGTCGCCTTAGGGGGCGGGAGCTATGTACTACGAAGAAACTCTTGATGTCTGGGAAATACCGCTGGGTAGCCCCTTTGGACTTTGGAAAGTGCTTTTCCCCGGATCGTGCTCCCCGTTCTGACAGCTCCCAGGCCAGTTCACGATATATCACTCGGAAATAGTTTAAAATATTTTGGTGGGACTACCTTTCTATTTATTTGAAGGTTCGAATTCGATTGACCAAATAGACCTACTGATCGGCGCGGAAGATCACCTTCTGCACCTTCATTTTGTCAAAGAGCTCATAACCTTCCTCCGCTTGACTCATTGGCATGATCTTGTCCGACATGAAGCTTTGAATTTGTGAGCGCTGTGTTCTCGAACTGAACGGGTCCATACTTACCCTAGGAGGTGAGACTTCTTCTTTAATAATTCCAGTGCTTCCGGAAAGACCGCATGGACAGGGCACCTGCCGAACTGGATTCTTACGTTTTTGTTGTATGCCTCATTCCCGGTGAACGGGATCTAGAGTGGCATCAGCGAGGGTGAAATGGTGCTGGTTGAAGGACTCACTTCAGCGTTGTGCACCCCAACACTGATAATTACTCCCCAGGGCCTAACTACGTCGAAACCCATTCGGAGAGCGGGGCTGTTTCCTACCACCTCCAAGACGACGTCCGCACCCCTTCCATCTGTAGCTTCTGTGATACGCTTCTTAACAGCATTTTTGTCCTCCATAAAGTTTAAGGGTTCTGCCCCGAGGGACTTGGCTAGCTCAAGGCGAGAGGGGACGGAATCTATAGCGAAGATGCGTGCGGGGTTGAAGGAGGTAGCGGCGATGAGGGCGCATAGTCCTACCGGGCCACATCCTATTAGAACAACGGTTGCATTATCACGCTGAGTCGGCGTGAGTTGGGAGAGTCCATTGGATGCAGCGAAGTAACCACTATTGGCGGGTTAGCTGCAGTGGAAATTTATGGCGGGCCCATACGTTGGGAACTGAGTGGTGATTAGAAAACTAAGCAACAAGTTAGGAGGCTGTAGACTTACTATATCTGCCATCAGGATCTGTTACGATTGTTTAGCTTGGACCTCGGGGTGGGTATCAACCTGTATCCGACGTACCACTGTCTCTTCCGGGATCTCTGGCGGAGCTTTGAACAGTGTCCCGTCCGCCAGCGGAACTCGGACCTAATTCACCTAGTTAACTCTCGTGCGAGAAGATTCAACAAGTAAACTAATTGACATATTCTGCCTGCCCTCCATCTAGCTTCACAGAACCGTACAACATTGATTGTGCACATCGAGAGGTGTAGCCGTTCTTGCAATAGAAACATTCCAAGCTTTCTCATGGTCAACAGAGGCTTACTCGCGAAAACAATTACCTAGCATACCAAGAAGTTGTAAATGGGGAAATAACTTTGTCTCCGGTTTGGAACCTAGTAACCCCTTTTCCTACTTGAACAATGGTCCCGGTGAACTCGTGGCCCATAATAAATCCCGTATCGCTGGGCTGATGCCCACGGAATACATGAAGTTCGCTTGATGTTCCCAGTTGGCCCCTATCCCCGAAATTAAATGCTTCTAGGCGAGGAGCTCACCTTCCACAAAGAGCCGTGTAAGAAACCTTCACGAGAGCGTCTGTTTCATCAATGATCTTCGGGATTGGCCTATCTTCCAGGGAAATCTTGTGGGGGCCTTTGAAAACGACAGCTCTCATTTTTTGAGACATTTTTGGCGTTCCCTTGAGTACTGTATCTATGATTACGACGGGGGCTGTACGGTTGCGACGATGTGTTCGTGGTGGTTTGGGGAAGGTGGTGGAGTTGCAGTTCTGCGGTTTCGCGATTATGGTGGGGGGATGGTGGGGGATGAGATGAGCTAAGGTTGGTGTCAGGATCCTGGCACCATAGAGCCCTAGACAACGGGGTTGGTACCGTATCTTACGCTCCGGGAATTACCGAACTGAGTACTTTACTAGTTGGAAACGGTAACTTAGACGCTCCTGGTACCTATGATGAGATCAGTTTTCTACGACGCCATAGATACAATTCCATGTGAAAACTCATCTCACTTGAACGGGATCATATGATAATGGAAAATCCGGCCTCATACGCGCCTCTGACCAAAAAACAGTTAACCTTACATTCGACGAGGGGTTTTTGTTGGTTCTGAGAATATGGAACGGTGAGTCTTTTACAATTCTGGAGTTGTTATCAGGATCTCGCTTGCACTACCCAGTGCAACTATTAGTATCGCTGGGTTGCGAATCTGCGAACGAAAGATGAGTGGGTTTCCCCCGGGATCTCTGTTCCTCCGAAGTACTTCCGGGTATCGTGCTGCATTGTAGGGCGAGTTTGGGGTCGTAGCAGAGCTTGAGCCTCACAAAGCTCAATCACCGCCTGGCGTGACGTTGACCCATCTCGTAGCCAAGAATCAGTATCGTCAATTATCTCCCAAGGCCCAAAGCATGGTACCACCTTCCTCTGCTTTAAGGTCCTTCGTTTCTCAGGCTCAAGTAGGAAGCAAGCACATTCTCGATCCGATAGATATCACTCATAACCCCTCTAAGGGAGTCTACTGTAGGTTCTCCAAATTGTGTTAGGCTTGCGGTTTCCACTCTTTCGCGTTGGCCCTTGGTAGCACCAAGGCTGTGTTGTAGATGTACGCCCTTAAATTATATGTCTGCTGCAATTGATGGCCCGTAACTTAACCGTGCCAAAGGTTCCCACCACCCTGAATGACGCTACACAACCATTGAAGTAGGTGGCACTCCCTTGAAGTGCCTCAGAGTTCAAAGATAGTAGCAGCTCAATGATAGATTTCTTACATACTACAAATAGGGTGTCCGGTTTCATGACTATGAAGAGCCTGAAGCTTTTGTTACCTGCTTTCCTCTTTTACTGCCTTGCACATCTGTTTGTAAATTTCCTTTTACTGTTTTATAATCTTGTTCTCTGCTAACTTTTGTACATCTCCAGAATCTGTCCTGTCTTCCAAAGCCCCTTCTCTGCCCTGTTTTTTGTAGCAGCTGCTAGGAACATCTCTGTTATGTAGTACTGTCAAGAAGTAGCTAACTCTAAAGTCAAGTGAGTTGTAACTAAGGCTGGTATGATTTTTCAGAGAAATTGTCAAGAAAGCTCATAAAAATATTAGCATTGAAGTATCATGAATATATGGATAAGATCTATTTTCTATCTGCTAATGATATCTAAAAGCTAGAGATTTTGTTTTTTTTGTTTAACTCATATATTCTTTGTTAAGGTACAAGAACCTGCATGGAGCGCTAGCTATGGTAAAAACAAAACCTTAATTCCAAACGCATTCCCCTGCGCCCCAGGGACCAAAACAACCCCCCCAAGACCCTCTAGTATGGGCCTAACCGTACATCCTGCCCTGCACAGGAATAATCGTCCTCTACAGGGAAGGTAGAAGAGGGAAGAAAACCCTTCAGCGTCATCTCGACAAAGGAAAGAATAGATTAGGAAACCCCCAAGTGCCTCTACAGGCGTCCGCAAATGAATGTGTCCACTGTCAGGCCCACAATAGGGCCCTGGTGAAATGCCATGACGGGGCCGGCCAGCTCAACCCAGGAGATAGTGTAATACCAAGGTAGGCCAACCGGTTGTTCGGCCAGGGGTGGGCCGCAAGCGTGGAGGGAGGAAGACAGGCGAGAGATGCCAGCAACCTGTGATAGAGGAGGGCAGCCGATACTGCCAAGGAGGGAGGGGGTAGACCCCAGCCATGAGGAGTCTGGTTGTGGAAAAGGTTGGATGGTGCCTGTAGTGACACCAGAGCCAGGAAAGAGTTGTAGAGCTGCCATGAGGGTGGCAGAAGTGAGAGCAGCACCAAGTGATACTGGCGCGGAGGGGAGGTGGGAGGGGCAGGCCAAAGCACTACCACCTCAGTGAAGATGGGGCCCGAAGGCCGAGGCAGTAGGGTGCCAGCCGATCCTGGAGGAGGGGAGAGGAAGAGGGCAAGGAAGCAAAGATCCGGCCAAACAATGCAGCAGGAGGCTGCAACTAGGGTCACAGGAGTAGGCAAGGCTACTCCCGATAGCCCAGAGGACCACCATCCCAACTGACCGTTCAGCCATCACCAAGCTGCCAAAGCCGACCGTGCTGATGCTAAGCGAGGTGAAGCAAAAGCGGGGTAGAGAGGACAGAGACCTCACGATGAGGCCCCCAGAGTGGGGAGAGGACTCCCATCCAGCAGAGGCGAGATGCTAGATGAGGGAAGGAGTAGAAGAGAGGCCCCGATGGGCAGAGGGATGGAAAGAAACAGCCTGCACCCCCTGGTGGGGGGGTGCATGGGTATAGAAAAGTGGTGATGATTCCTCGGTGTTGAGTTGTTCCCAATTAGGAAATATTTTTCAATGACCGGAGGTGTAGCGGAGACGGAGGATGATCTAAAAGCTAGGGAGATATCTTGATATTTATATTTTGCATCCGGGTAGTTATAGGCTATATCTAATTAGTACTAAAGAATATATCTTTTATACTAATTTTCTTTCAACATATATGGTAGGAATTCTATTGACTCTAAGGAAGTGTCTTGCTTGAACTACTATTATCTTTATGTATTATTAGTTCTCTACAAGGGCTTCTAGGGCCTCTCTCATAGTAGCTTATAATTTCTTCATCTTAGAGAAGTTTGAACAGAAATGTAGCCTTAATAGACTCAGAAGCCAACTTATTATTCTCCTTCTCTGATTGAAGTGTTTAGTTCCTGCAAGTAACTTATTAATACATTGTTGATCCAGCAATCAGACTAATTAATATCATAAAAAAAGTTTTTCAATTACAAAAATAGCCTCTGGTTGATTCAATTCTATGTAAGTAATAGATTAGGTCCTATTTTTACCATCTGGATGATTAGTATAATCTTATAATACTTGTTAGACTATTGATGATTTTGTCCAATTACTTTCAGACCATGTCTAAGATAGTAAATCTTTCTTAGTTAGTAGTAACTCTATAGTTACCAATTTAGATAACTCTATTCTACTTATTGGAAATAGTAAGATGTTACCAATACTTAGCATAGTACTTACTTTCTCCTACCTTCCTTCCTGTACTAGTACCCCTAGTGTACCTGATAAAAATAGTGAGATACTGCTTGCCATTCTATTATCTCCCTTTCTCTTCTTGCTCTTCCTCCCCTATTCTTCTTTTCTTGCTCTTCTTTCAAGTTCTCCTTCCTCTCCCCCTCTGAGTCCCCCTTTTTCTATAGTGTACTTATTTATATATCAACTGGTTGATTGATTTTTGTAAGAGTACTTTGGTAGTAGGATAGAAGAGTACAAAGTGGGAGAGCACAGTAGTTTTGAATGAGCGGTGAACGAACAGGGTTCTGTGGCAATGGACCAATCAGAAAACTAATCATGTGACTGGCTGTGAAATGAAACAATACCAAGCTCACTCACATATTGGAATCATACAACTTACAGCTAGTAAAAACTCTTTTCTTCTTGTTCTCCCCTCTCACACACTCACTAACTATTGTACACATATCTCTAACTAACTAATATTAATGGAAAAGATACAAGCATATATTATCAAGTGATAAACCAACAACCCAGTAAAGTCCTAATCCTTCCCCTATCAGTTACGTTTTCCTCTTTCACATATTCATGCAAATACAAACTGACAAAGAAAAGACAAACTTACATCTCCCTCCAAGTCCCTATCAGGTAAGTCCTCCATATTTATACAACCAAGAGCCAACAAAGGAAAAACAAACTTAGTCTCTGGCTGTATCCTATTTCACTGCACTCTCCCTACAGTGCTTTTCCATTGTGCTCTTTTATGCTTTACTATATACTTTCCTATACTCTTTCCACTATATGCTTTTCTGCTGCACTCCTCTACTGTGTACCTCTCCATGATACTCCCTCTTCCTATACTGTACACTGCTGCCAAGCACTCCCATACTATCACCAAGCACTCCCACTAAGTGCTCCTACCAAAAAAACAAATAATTAAGTAAAGGGATAGAGGGTAGGGGGAACAGGAGAATGGAAGGAATAGGAGAATAAGAAAATAGGGGGATTGGGGAATAGAGAACAAAGGGAAAGGGGAAAGGGGAGGTAGTAGGAGTAAGGAAAGGTGCAAGCATGCTGACCAGAATCTCACTATTTCTAACAAGTAAAAGAGCACATGCCTGAGTTCATAGAAGAAAAGCATAGGCAGAGTAGAGTACGTAGTTTATTTGTTTATCTTTCTCTTTGTTAGGTTTTTCTGGTTTGCTTAACATATGAGTGACTTACCTGTAGAGGGGAGGAGAGAAAAAAGTAAGGGGGGTATGAGTTTGTTGGGTCTTTTATTTATTCAGGAGTACTCTTGGGTTTTTTTTAGATATGGCTAGGCTTTAAGGTTCTCAGAAAAGTACTTCAATCATAGGAAATGTATGGAAAGACTTTAGAGATATATCTATCAGAAGAATAAGAGACTAGGAAAAAAAATATAATAGGAAGAAAAAGGCTACAAGGAGGACTAGAGGTTTGGTAGATATAAATCATTTCTTCTTTATTAGTTTTTCTAGTTTTACTTAGGAGAGACACACTTGGTTTTAAACAAGAGGTAGAATGGAAGTTGCAATGACGAATGAATCGAGATTGTAGCAATAGGCCAATTGGAAAACTAGTTGAATGATGGGCTATAAAACGAAATGTGAAGCTTATTTAGGGAATAGGGATCACAGAACTGAAAAAACTTTTCTCTCACTCTCACCTCCTCAATATCACATGTTCAACTAACTAATGGCTAATATAGGAGAATATATCTTCTACAAGTAACAATAACAAACCATAGTTCCCCCCCTTCAGGTAAGTCCTCCC